TCTCTACCCGATGATATCCTAGGACTGCACTATAACCTAACATTGATTTCTTCATATGCAGAGTTTGCCATTGAAACTAAGTAAATTTCTTTATTTGTACCTTTCTCTATCTATATACATATAGTTATGTCTAATGTTTTTTTTATCATTTTGATTTAAAGGTTTCGCTTTAATTAATCAGGATTAACTTGCGTCGCACACCTTATTTTGATAATATTAACCCACATAATTTCATCTTACAAGTTTCAATGACAAAATTTGCATATGAACAAATTTATATCAGATCAAAGTGCAACCGCAAGGTATTATCATATACAAAAATTTGTATCGACGAAATGAGTCGATTTACAGATGATCTAATTGAACACATACTATTCTTTCGACTAGACAAACAGTAATGACTTTGATTTTGTCGAAAAGATGGTTTTGGGTGTGGACGTCAGTTCTCATCATTAATTTTCCCATCATTTAAAAATGCAAAAAAAAACACATGTATCAGTTCATGTGAGTCTTAAAGATCAATGATAGGAACTGATGTTCACACATGAAGTCATCTTTTTGACAAAATCGAACTCGTCACTGTTTTTTTTTTTTGTAAAAAGGTACTTTGTATTGAGAAAATTACAAAGTAACCACTCCACGGACCTCGTTAAAAAACCTCCCTACACCTAATTAGAGAAAAAAGAGTTCATAATGGAGTGGAATGACCATGAATGGAAGATTGAAAAAATCAGCAATAAAAAGAAATTATGACAGTGAACACACTGCATAATTCCGATACAACCCAACACAACAAAAACAGAAGAAAAAATCCGAGTTTGCAGCTCAAAACAAAATCCAAGCAGAGCACCACTAATCTCAACTTAACTACTGCGAATGAAAGCAAGCTTAGACCAAAACAGAAAGCAAACGGTTGGGCGCACAGCAGAAGCAAAGCAGCAGCTGGGGATGCCAATAACCAAAACTGGGAACGCCATTAACCGCAACCACAGACAAAAGCAGTCGGATTTCGGATAAAATCCGACACCACAGGATAAGAACGTGGCCATAAATAATTCGCCCATAATCCTATCAGCAGTAAAGCTTTAAGAAATATTTGATCCGCCGTAAACGAAGCCCCATTAAATTTGGCATTATTTCTACAGATCCAGACTGTCCAAATCAGACCAAAGAAACCAAGACGCCACAGCGGCTTTACTCTCGGTCTAACGCGTTGTGCGAACCAAACCTCAATCAATAGTTTAACGTTCTTAGGAAAAACTAAATTAACATTCCACACAATGCACCATCTTTGCCAAGCATTCCAAACTACAGAACAATGACAAAGTGCATGATTTACCTCTTCCGACACAAGCTTACAATGGAGACAGCATAACTGATCGGTGCAATTAACACCCCTTTTAATTAGCTCCACCATAACAGGCAGTCTTTGGTGCACTGCTTTCCACACAAAGGCCGAGATTTTAGGAGGCACAAACTTAAACCAAACAATTCTCCACACAGGGTCTTCCAAAAAGCCATTGCAGGACACTCTAATAATCGATTGATTTCGTTGTTGTAAATGTCTTTATCCGATTATATATGTACTTATTATGTACAGAAAGAGGAATGGTGCAGATACATAATCGATATGAGTTAAATCCTTTGTCACTTGTTTTTTCCCCTTCTTTTTACATTTATCCTTTTATTCTAAATTAATCCTTACACTTTTGAACATTTTAATTTTATCCCTATACTCTGACTCTTATTTTAAATTGATCCCTAAACTTTTAAATATTCTAATTTCATCCCAAATTCATCCAAATATGTAATTAGTTTCAAGTTTCAACCACAATTTAATCTAATTTTTTTCAAACATATAAAAATATAGCTTGACCTAACGTTTTATTAACATGGAATGTGAATAGTATATACATATAAATTGAGGTGAAATTGAAATGTTGAAAAAATTTAGGGACCAATGCAGAATGGGCATAGTTTGGGGATGAAACTAAAAGGCATAATGAAAAATTAGTATATAACATTTGATAAAGTAGTTATTTTGGTTCCTATTCTATTTTTTGAAGCACTTTACTCCCAACGTTTCATTTTGGGCAGAAAACCTCCTGATTGGATCGAAAGCATTAGTTGACTAATAGTCAACGTTTCTTATTGACTGGATAAGTCTACGTGGACTAAAATACTAACAAGAAAATTACAAATTTATTAACTGAATTTTATTATTTCTCATTTCACTCATTGTATTTTTAATTTTTTAAATTTAATCACTTAATTTTATACATCGAGTGGTCTTTATCACTACTCAATTAAACATTTTAAAATAAACTTTTCTCATTTGTTTGACTCTTCAACGTTTTAATTTTCACATATTTTTCTCTTTTTAAATTTCTTTTCTTTTTCTTGGCTCTGAAATTATGGAAGGTAAAAATATGAATTTGATTTAGAAAAACTCGGTCTTTATAGGAGATAGATTTAAGGGAAAGGGAAGGTTTGATGGTGAGATATTCATGGTTTCACTGGTTGCTGCTTGGATGGGAGGTTTCATCATTATGATTTTATTATTCCTTTTCTTGATTGGTAACATCAAAGAAATATATAAAGAAAAGAGATGACACAAACTACCATTACAACTATCTTGTTTTGTTTTGTTTTGTTTTTTTATTTGCAGCAACTTCAACATGGTAAAGCTTCCATAAACAGTTGGTATTCCATCTTCAAAGTAGCTGCTCCAAGAACCGTAACCGTACAAACTCTAGCGGCAAAGGACCCTTAAAATTATTGCTATATGCATTAAAGATTCTCAAGAACCTAAGCTTGGAAACCCCGAGCGAGAATGTTGAATTGAAGTAGTTATATGGCTGATACAAAGAGCTCTAAGTTGACTGAATTCAAATATAAACGGTTGGAGAGGGCCATCAAAGTAATTCTCACTCAAATTCAAGTAATATCAGAGAGATTGCGATGAGAGAAATCAAGAGACGTAACTTGTGTTATCTAAGGATTACACTCAACACTTGACCATGAACACCAAACGGGGTCTTCAAAACGAGGCTTGGGAATGTAGGAATAGGGTCCAACCTCAACCCATACCAGCTTACCATAATTCCGTAAGTACTGATGGTATTGGCCTCATCATGTTCGAAGAATTTCAAGAGTAGATTCTTTGAAATTTGTCACTTAGCCAATTATTTTTAATGCATTTAATACTTAGTTCTATGTTTACACTTTACATAAAGGAAAAAAACTTAGTGTGTCGTGTAGGACGTAAGTTACGAAACTGCATGCTTTGCTTTAGTTACGTAAGCTTAGATTGGATTAATTTTTGTTCTTAATGGCTAGTTTTGAGCTTTTCAAGCTAGATGGGTTGTTATTTTTGGGAGGTAATGGCGTTTGCGGTTTTCAAGGAAAAGTTTATATCTTAACTTTTTTTAAAAAAAAATTGACACAGAACTTAATAATTGAAAAAATTGTTTAATTTTATCACGTCATAACGAAGTTAGAAAATTAGCAGTTGAGTTACCAAAAAATCTAATATATAAAGTTCAATCATTAAATTAAAAAATTAAAAATACAATGAATAAAAATAGAATAGGAACTAAAGTTTAGCGAGTAAATTTAGGGGAAAAATAAGAATTAGACCAAAATAGGTCTACAAGCAACATAAGCACGGTAAAAAAAACGAAGTTAAAAGTTATAAAATCAACTCAACATTATAAAATGGTCTCTTGAGTATAGAGTAAAACATGATTTTATCATATTTTAATTAGCAGGTTAACGGACACAAAAATATAATTTTATTATTACATTTTATATTTTTAATATAAAGTGATAAATATAGGCTAAAATACACAAATGGTCGTCTCATTATAAGGTGTTGTTTTATTGAATCTTCTAACAATTGAAAGTAACAAAATGGTCCCTCGACTATAAGATGTTGTTTTATTGAGTCCTCCAACTATTAAAAGTTATAAAATGGTCAATCGACTATTCATATGTTCTAAACTCATCATTTTTCGTTAAAAATTGATGATCGTCTGAGCTAAAAGTTAACATGCTAATTAGTATATGATAAAATCATATTTTTAATGATGTCTACTGGAACATGTTGCTTTCAAGTACTGATTTGACGACATAATGTTTCAAGCACTGGCTTAGCAACATAATAAACGAAGTGTCGATCTACAAAATACAACTCAAATCATTCTATGGTAAGATTTTATCATATCTCAGCCAAATAGGTTAACCTCTACCTCATACGACCACTATTTTTTTAACATAAAACGACGAGTTTGGAATATATGAATAGTCATATGACTATTTTCTAACTTTTAATAGTAGGGAGACTAAACAAAATAACACCCTATAATCAAGGGACCATTTTAAAACTTTTAATAATTGAGAGATTCAAAAAAATAGCACCCTATAGTTTATAGACCATTTGTATACTAAACTATTAAGCTAAATCATGATATTGATAATTTTTTATTGATAATTTTTTATTGAATTATATTTAAATTATATAATATCGCTACTTTTTTTTGAATTAATCACTGGTATTCGATTTATTAACTGACTAATCCAGATCGGGTACTGCAGAGGCGAGGACGATCCTCCCAACCCAGTTTGCTCCATTTGCAAACGCCAAGATTCAAACCCTTGACCTTGCTTAAGGGACCTAGTGCCTCATCCCAGTAGACCAACTGGTTGTTGATTATAATATCACTACTTTAATATTATATTAAAATACAATTGTGATTAATTAAAAGAGTTTATTTGAAAAAACAAATATTCAATCATTAAATTTACGAGAATAATTCCTAATTATACATTACTATATGATATCCAAACAATAACCAAAGTAATAATAAAAATCCAACAGACAAATGTTGTGTAACTGAACGTCGAAACACCAGCGAAGTCAAACTTGAAAATCGCCACTCTCAATATAAAATATAAAAGACAACAACATTTTGCAACTTTTAAGAATTCGAATATCCCTCAAAATGGATCCGGATCCGAATACTTACCCTCTCCTCTCTTACGTCATCACCCACCTCGCTTCCGTCAAACCCTCCGCCATCAATTCGCCACAAATCGTGAGCCAAATGCCCCACCTATCCCGTCCCAACGTCATCACCTCGATGAAAGATGCAGTCTCCGATGTGTCCAAAGCCCGCTCCTTTATCCAAAATCTAGGCCCACGTCCTGACAAAGAGCTCATTGATAAGGCCCGATCCAAACTCGCGGAAATCGAATCCAGTCTCGTCGTATCCTTGGAAGAATTGTTCTTGTGTCCTCGACCCGGTGAGGTGGATCTACTCGAGTGGCGGGCCTTCTTGGCGGAACAGGAGCTTGAGATTCGACAAGATACCGACGGAGAGAAACGTCCTCAGCTTTTGATTTTGCAATTGAATGAGATGCACGAGGCGTACGTGAAACTACTCAAGGAAGCGGAAGAGAGGTTGGTTAAGATTTACGAGGATGAGGCGGAAAATTCCGACGAAGCTAATGCGGAGCTCGCTAGGATATTACAGGAAGCGGAAGGGAATCCACCGGAAAGAATATATTTATCCGAAAGAAAGCTCCGATCTCTTCCGCCGGAGTTCGGGAATATTAATAGCTTGCTTTTGCTTAATCTTTCCTCTAATGAGCTTAAGGTCTGTTCCCTTTTTCTTTCTGTATGAACTTTCCATTCATCTGACTCACCTATTATAAGCAAACAGGTTATTCCCGAGTCCATTGCTAGATTAGAAAACCTGGAAGAGCTTAATCTTTCTTCCAATCTTCTGGAATCACTACCGGACCCGATTGGATTGCTTCGGAACTTGAAAATCTTTAACGTTTCTGGAAATAAACTTAATTTCGTACCCGACACCATTTGTCTTTGCAGGTAATTTTAATTCTATTGTAAAATCAAACATAGTTTTTTATCATTATCTGAAATTTGATCATCATCATCAATTCAGATCTTTGATAGAATTAGATGTGAGCTTCAATTCCCTGTCATGCTTGCCAACTCATCTCGGCAGATATTTAGGTAATCTACGAAGGCTTTCGATTCATTTTAACAAGATTCGATCCCTGCCTTCTTCTATCGGTGATATGAGTGCTTTGTGTTTCCTGGATGCTCACATGAATGAACTTTCTGGCCTTCCCGATGAGATCGGGAGATTGACAAATCTTGAGATCCTCAACCTGAGCAGTAATTTCACTAATTTGACGCAACTTCCCAACACGATCGGTGGATTGATCAATCTTAAAGAGCTTGATCTCAGTCACAACCAGATTCAGGCTCTCCCCTATACATTCGGCCGTCTCGACAAGCTAGCGAAACTCAATTTGCTACACAATCCTCTCGACATTCCGCCTCCGGAAGTGATAAACGAAGGTGTCGAGTCAATAAAGAATTACATGCACGACTTACTTGTTGAGGAAGAAAGAAAGAGCAGCCTAGAGGGAAATGAACAGACACAGAACGGGTGGTTAACACGCGGCGGCTCGTGGTTGATGAGTTCAGCTTCATTCGTCGGTGGAAGCATCTCGGGCTACCTTATCGGAGGTGCTCCCAAGAACGCCGCCTATCTTGAGGAAGCACGATAATTTCATAGTCCATCTTTAATGTTAAGTAGAAACAAATGTAAAACATCCATGATAGTTTGATCAGATGAAACAAAAACAAGTACATTACTTAATGTTAAATAAATAAAAAAAGTTCAAATCTTCATGCTCATTTCTGAAATGGATCGAAATATGTAATCGGATAGCACACGAAAGGAACTGCAAATGCACCTGAATAACTAGCTCCGGCTGCTTCATTATCAACTTTCTCCCCATCTTTCACTTCACCTAATTCGACTTCTTTAAATTCGGATCAAATTTCAGTTAATTAATATGTTATTCGGGTCGAGTTGACCGAAAATTTAAACTGAACCGACCAGTCCTAAGATTATCCTTAGGTGTGATGCGTAGACTTCCAATGTCGAGCATTCAACTGAGTAAGAAAGATGGAAAAATAAATGCATCTAGTTGGTATTTGGACTGCTTCAAAGTGTATAAATTGGGACAAATACTTTTCCAAGCCAACGTGATCAATTAGTTAAGCTAGTCCAATAAGAAATTTAATTCCTACTACTAATCCATAAAATTATTTCAAATACATATTTAATATAATGTAACAATAAACTGAAAAGAAAAATGGACACCATGACTTCCCGTTATACACGCCAACCACAATCATTCCCCATGTCTCCAAAGTCATATAACAATTTTATCTAATTTTATTTGATCATCCTGTAGTGGTCTAATTATGGGTTTAGTCCTTCTACTCTGATTAACTCTTAAATCTCATTATAATGAAGGGACTAAAGCCATAATTAAAATTTCTTTGTGCTAGTACCCCACAGTTTATAACTATTATTCTTTCTTCCCTTACCTTTGAACAATATCAAAAGAAAACTACAAAACAAACGCCTCTACCAGGCCACCAATTTCTTAAAGAAATCCCTCTTCTGAGTCTTCCAGCAAACTTTAATGGAAGATTACAGCAGATCAAGATCATATGGTAATGGGATGATGCAGCTGGAAACCTACCAGGAGGCACCGCCACCAAGGCCAGGTTCCTATGAGCTCAGGCCCTATAGTGTTTCCTATGCACAATCCCAGATGGCGGCTAATAACTACAATAATATGGGAAACAACAGCAACAGGGACTTGAAGTTGAAGAAAGTGAAGAGCACTTCTGGTTCATCTTCTTCGAAATCATGGAGCTTTGCTGCTGGCCCTGAGTTCCAAAGGAAGAAAAGGGTTGCTAGCTACAAGATGTATAGCGTTGAAGGTAAGGTCGAAGGGTCCTTGAGGAGGAGCTTTAGGTGGCTTAAAGATAAGTACACACAAGTTGTCTATGGTTGGTGGTAATTGTTGCAGTTTGGTTGAATCCTTTTCTTTTATATGTTTTATCTTGCTTGTATCCAAGGTATTTGTTGGGGGGGGGGGGACAAAGTTTCAGTTTTAAAGGAGGATTTTTTTTGTTGATGATTGATGTGGTTGACCACATGTCGACTAACTTGATTGTAAGTTTGGTTAATTCTGCTGTATTACCCGAGAGAAAAAAATAAACTTTTCTAGGTGTATCTTTACATGTTGAATCCTTTCAAATTCTTGTTGTTCGTAGCTTTCTTATAGTCTTTACTCACTAGGGATAAAAGGAGGTATTCGAGTAGCTTAGACAATACTAATGGTGAGCAATTGATGATGGATATTGTTCCTAAAGAATAAATCTCCCTTGAACCTTATTGATCTGTTTGAACTTTTGGATATTTTCTGGTGATAAATTACTTGCATCTTTAAATTCTGATTGAGATAAGATTTCGTGTTCAAGTCTGGTGAGAAGGAAAAACAACCTTATCTTATAGTGTACAGCACTTATAACTTAAGTATTGTGTAGGGATATTCCAAATGCCATCAATGCCAATAACGTTCAATGAATTTCCTCCATGGTTGTGAAGGACATTTGTGTATCTGTGTATGTTAATTATTTGCATTGAATGCTCTTGTTGAAGAAACCCTGCAGTACATATATTTGATTTCTTTCTTCTGGTTTAATTTCATAATGATTTGGTTCCAAAATTAGTAAGATTGTAAGTGAATTGAAGGCAAGTTTTGACAGAAAACTGATGATTTTATCCTGGGTGCCATGTTGAATGATGCTGAGTGCAATGGAATTTGACATTAGTGCATCAATCAATAGAAATTGGCATTATCGAATGTGCTATCCCTTGAATCATTTCCCTTCTGCTCTGCCGTCTAATCTCCTTTTTCACCATGCGGAACTGTTGCGTGAACCAAAAATCATTTTCTAACCAAAAGTAGAGAGCGGTATTGGTCGTATTGGACAATGGACAATACATACTGATTTGGTCTCAAACAGATTACGTGTAGTTTAAAGGCAAATTTAGGGGGAAATAGTTAAAAATTAATTAAAATAAATATGAATCTTAAAAAATATAAAATAAAATTTACACATTAAAACTTATTAAGTAATCTTGATGGTAGAAAAGAGTGTTATTTATCTTAGAAATCATCGGACTCAAACAATTGTATCTGTAAGATATATATTCGTTATTAAAGATTTTTAACATATATTACCAAATAACTATAAAAAATCAATTATGACTTTTAAAGTTGTACGTTGCATGTAAAAAATAAATAAAATATTATCGAGAACCGTCAATTATCAGTAACTTTCATTCTGAGGAACAAATAAAACAAATGAAAAAAATGGTTTAAGGAGATGATGAGGGTGTCGCGTGTATAAGTTTTACTGAAGGTGAAACTTAAAAGTTCATAATTTTACGGTCGAATGTTTGATTGAGATAAATTTTTTAGGTCCACACTGACAAAATCATTTTTGTGCCCAAATTGCAATGAGCTGCTGAGGTTACTTTGTAGGAAGCTCCCAAGATAAGGTCTAGAACCAACAGAGCAAGGTCTCGTCACTTAAATTCTCATTGCTAAACGAAATGGCAAGGAGAAAACTCAAATCGAGATTTAACTTAGAGGTATAATTATTTTATCAATTTTGAAGAAAAAAAAAGGTTTCAAAATGAGAGGGTCCCCATAGTCCTTCCAAAAGGTACTCCAACCCCCGTAGTCCTTATTTGGCAGAAAGATAGGGATGGGAAACCTCTGCAAGTCAGTCATGGTACGTCTGGTAAACAGTTAATGGCTTTTGGGTTGTTGCAGCAAACCAGTTAGGAGCAGCCAATGGAGAGAAGAAGATGGACCCTGGGGCAACCAACAACCATGTTTCACCATTAGTGAAGTGAATGTTCCATAAGCAAAACCAGGAAATCATGGGCCATGAAGTGGGGAAATATAAAAGGTGGTAACTGAGATGGAATGATTGCTTGGGCACTAAGGAATAACTCTCTTTAGAGATTAGACCTAAAGGTGACCCCATGGCCATGGCCTTATGGTCCATCATTATTGTAGCAAAACATTGTCAAAAGATGTATGAATCAGCTGTCAAACAAGCAACTTTACCCTATGTCTCATTCCCTTCAGTAAATGTAAAAAACAGTTCCAGTTTCAACTTTAGTTTCCCTCTACTTGAAGAAATGCCTTTTAAAGTAAGATTTTGCCTTTAAATACCTACAACTATCACCAAGATACCCAGGTAGTCTTTAAAGCTAACCCAAATTGAGGTCCTTGATGTCCCTAGCTAAGGCACGGTGGGGCCGTCTCACCATACCTTATAGAAGATTCTGCAATAAACTTTTTGCATTACAAAGTAGTTTTGTCTTCAAAATGTAGTAATAGTAACTTAAAATGACTATAGAATGAGATCCAATGGCAACTTGGTGGCCATAAATCAGTGCATGTCTGAAGAAACAGCTAAGATGATTTTAATATAATCAAATCCCATTTTTATGGCGATAAAAGTACATGGTAAACGACCAACATGTGGCCCATTCAAAGAGAGCTATGTCGTTCATAACTCGATGATTATGCATCACATCAGGAATCAAAAGAAGGGGAAACCTACCAGCAATGCTTCATTGTGCATTTATAGTTGATTGGGATAATCACCGAGTTGCTCAATCTGCCAACTTTCTTGAGGAGCCACGTGTTCATGGCAAAGTTTGTATTGCTGCAAAAATTAAGTACAAATTTTAGATAATCGTGATCCAAGGCCTATGCAGATAATTGAAACAAATGAGTTTCGTTTCTCTCTGTGTTTCTCAGAGAGTTTTGAATCGTTATGATTGGCAGGCTAGCCATTTCTTTAATGATCTCCTCTAGCTTCTTCGTTTAACTGATTAACCTCATGATCTGAAAAAAATGTTAAGATAAAGCTCGTACCTCCATCTTCTCCATTAGTTCTTTGGCTGTTGGAGCAGAGACTATTATATGCCTAGCACCTGGCTTGATGAAACCCTCTTTAACGCCGTTGTCAAATAACACAAGCAAATTATTGTAGTAACCATCGACATTTAGCAAACCAACCTGCATCAAGATTAATTTACACACATTTATATTAATGAATAATAACGTAGCAATCTTAATTCTTCAATCTTGAAGAATAATTCCTCACTGTTTTCTTATGTATTCCGAGTTGGGACCATGTTATCATCTCCAGCAACTCTTCCATTGTTCCATATCCACCTAAAACATCAAATTTTAATGTTCGAATTAGTTATATTGTATTATTTAAAAAACAAAGGCCAAGGAAATTTTACCAGGAAGAGCAACAAAGGCATCGGCTTCTCGGGCCATTGCAGCTTTGCGCTCATGCATGTCTGAAACCGTTCTCACTTCACCGACTGGTTCTCCTGATATCTGTCAACATTATCCGGGATTAGGCATTGAAAAGCTCAGAATTAAAGAAAGCATCGATTGACGTTAAGATATTCCAGCAAATTCTTGCACCAAAGAGCAACATCAAGTATTAGTAATGTACCGAATCCGATGAGGTGAACGATAAAACTATATAAAACGAGACACTTGCACCAATATTCAATAAACAATCTATATGATACATGGATGCAAGAACAGATACCTCCAGAGGCATGAGAGCTTTTGGAATTATCCTGCATGTAAAGAACAATTAGTTTACTTGGTAAAAGAAACAGCATTAAACATAGGCTCTTTAATGCAACTTTCTTACATACCCAAGAACATGACAGCCTCCATCATGCACTGTCTTGGATATCAAACCCATCAACCCAACACTTCCACCCCCATAAACCAAGTCTATCTTCCTCTTAACCTATGATCAAAACACCACAAATAAGCAAAAAGTAAAGTCCACAAGTACAAACTCCACTGTTTAAGAATTAAAAAAATTCAGTAAAAATCTCAACTTTTTCACTAGAAACCAACACCCAATTCTCTAAAACAATCACCCCAATTTCCATGAAAGACAAACATTCACCTACCAAAACATTAAAAAGTTGAACTTTTGAAAGCAAAAACACAAACATTAAAAAGTGTTGAAGTGAAAAAGGGAAGGCAAACCAGTTCATGGCCCAATTCAAGAGCAGCCTCGCTGAAGATTCTTCTATGACCAGAGTTGCTTCCACAGAAAACACACACCCTTTTGAACTTGCTTCTGAGATTCTCTTCTTCCATTAACAACTGTGTGTGTATCAGTTTTTGTTTTCTATTACAATCTCAAATCATTGAATTCTGCTAGAGAAAACAAAAAGCAATAGCTTTTCCCTTTGAAGAGATAAAAACTGTCCTCCTGACAATGAAAACTCTCAGAAGAAAGCACAGAATTTAATCATATACTATATTATATTAATTTTCTTAAATACGAGAAATTATGGAATAAAACTATTAACGGAGGCTTAGACTTTACACATGGGTTAAAATGGTAACGACACCAATGAATACGTATTTTTAATTTAAAATATTTATTGAAATAAAAAGTTAGATAAACTATACATATACATATGGCCACTTAATTATTACTTCTTTTCATTTTAGTCATTGATCAATGGTTTTTTAATTTCGTCAATCAAATTATTTAATTTAGGTGTTAAATGTATGTTTGAATTTGTTATGGAGTGTATTAAAATATCCGAGGCATGAGGCAAACATATGCCTTGGCTTCTTTTTGTTAATGGAATAATTTCATTTTTAGTCCTTTAAAAATTTAGTAACTCAATTTAATCCCAATTAGCCCCTTAATTTAGTGGGGGGAAATTTATGTTGGCCCCTTTCAAACATTGATAATTCAATTTAGGCTTATATAACAAATTGACTCCTGTCAATTTAGACAATAGTAAAAAAAACCCTTAAGTGAAATATAGCCAGGGGCTTACTTGATTATCTCCTAATTCACTAGCGGTGAATTTGTTATGTAACCATTCAATTTTAGATATTTAAGATAATATTTCACTCAAAGGTTTAATTGATTATCCACATGTATATATCATATTATATCTAAACCAATATTTTACACCCTAGTTAACAGTTAAGTTACAAAATTGACAAGATATTGATTATTTGAGGACCCAATAATTAAAAATCTGGAAGCCAATTTAAAGCTTTATTATAGTTTAGGGACTTCTCATTCAATTTACCCTTATATTATAAAACATTCTTAATTGAGGCATGAATCTCAAACGGCTCTATGGCGGAAACAGCTTTTAAAGGTGAAACATGTCAGTGAAAACACACCCTTTGTCATTGACATCTCTTGATTGTGAAATGTTGCAAGAAGCATATAGGACAAGAATTGGGTGAGGTAACTCAGTCCAAGACCAAATTAAGTATCACATGTTTAATTACTTTGTCTATGAAGTTGTTGATGTCATCATCATGCACCAATAGTAGCTATGCTATGCTGTGTCTTAAAAAGAACAAAATGATGTAGCTTTCATTGAAAAAAACAACAGAGCAAGTTGTACTAACAATCATTCCATGTTGGATTAAATCATTTTATGTAATATCAAGATCAGATAAAACTTGTACTATTTGACATATTGACTACAAAATTTTCAATTAGGCAAATATAACCTAAAAATTGATGTGTTTTTTAAAATACTTTGGGGGTGATTACAACCTAAATTTTTTAGAAAGAATATATTTTTGTACCAATAATATTGAATAAATGATACGCGTGATGATCACTTAATTTAATTTATGGTGCATCATTCTAGCCTCCAGATTCAGAGATTGTATAATTTTAATGTGTATCCTAATCTAATTTTTTAAGAGAAAATAATCTCATTGATCAAAAATGTCTTATAATATACGATTTTAACCAACTTTTTTTGGATTTGCCAAAATGACCAACTAAATCGCAATGCGATCGATTATTCGCAACGCGATCTCCGGTATCGCAAATCAGTTTCCAGATTCACAACGCGAACTTCGACTATCGCAATGCGAACTTGGACTATCTCAATGCGAATATGTAAATCGCAATGCGATAGTCGACTAGCGCAATGCGAACTTAGACTATCGCAATGCGAATATGTAAATCGCAATGCGATAGTCGACTAACGCAATGCGAATATGTAAATCGCAATGCGATAGTCGACTATCGCAATACGAACTTCGACTATCGCAATGCGAATATGTAAATCGCAATGCGATAGTCCAAGTTCGCGTTGCGATTTATTCCAAATTCGCAACGACTGCATTTGTTTCTTAAGAATTTTCTCTAAAATGATAGTATTCGCGCGGACGTGTCAAAGACACGTATTACCACGACCACGACCACGTCCCGACCCGACCCGACCCGGGACGAGACGAGACGGACGGCGGGGCGGCGGAGCGCGAGAGTCCTCCTTATTCTCTATCACTCAACAAGGAAGTGGGAAAGCCAAGCCTTAAATATCATTCCCAATAGTGTTTCCAATACTATGTGGGATTGAGCATTACCAACACTTGTTTCCAATACAATGTGATTATTCAGGAAACAATTAACAACCATGCACCTTAAAACAACTGAATCAGAAACCAATTGTATTAGTATTATACGATTAAATATGTCATAATTAAAAGTCAATCTACAATCAATCGCGATTATTGCAATTTTAAGCAAAACATTCAAAAATAATATCACTATTTAAGGCTCAATCCCACATAGTATTGGGAACAAGTGTTGGTAATGCTCAATCCCACATAGTATTGGAAACACTATTGGGAATGGTATTTAAGGCTTGGCTTTCCCACTTCCTTGTTGAGTGATAGAGAACAAGGGAGACTCTCGCGCGCCGCCGTCCGTCTCGTCTCGGGTCGGGTCGGGTCGGGTCGTTGTCGTGGTCGTGGTCGTGGTAATACGTGTCTTCAACACGTCCGTGCGAATACTATCTTTTTAGAGAAAATTCTTAAGAAACAAATCGCAACGAACTTGAACTATCGCAACGAATTTGGAATAAATCGCAACGCGAACTTCGACTATCGCAATGAATTTGGAATAAATCGCAACGCGAACTTCGACTATCGCAACGAACTTGGAATAAATCGCAACGCAAACTTGGACTATCGCAATGCGAATATGTAAATCGCAATGCGATAGTCGAAGTTCGCGTTGCGAATCTGGAAACTGATTTGCGATACCGGAGATCGCGTTGCGAATTATCGATCGCATTGCGATTTAGTTGGTCATTTTGGCAAATCTAAAAAAAATTGGTTAAAATCGTATATTATAAGACATTTTTTGTCACTGGGGTTATTTTCTCTTTTTTTAATCTTATTTTTTCTAATATAATTTAATGTATAAATGAGGATGTTTTATGTATCACGTTATTTAAAATGATATATCATGTCTCAAAATTATGATATGACATATATAATGTCATTAATTAAACATGTATAAAAATATCATAAAAATAATATGTATTAATCGTTAATTAATTAAAAAAATTCAATCAACATGGATTATTTTGACTAAAACTTAAAATGTAAACATTAAAGAAAATAAAAAGATAAATTAGCTATTTATACAATCATTGAGGATTGATTTTATCTCTATACTTTTAAAGAAAGCCTTTGTGCAAAGAATGTCAAATCGAAGAATGGAAAAAACATCTTAGTCCAAGCAAATCAGTTGATCAGTTTCAAGCATTCCTAATTCCTAGGATGTTGAGCCGTAAATTAATCCAACTTACCATACAACAACACTGATTACGTCTGAAGATCCACCGACCTTAACTTAAACTGCAATATTTATAGTCAAACAATAGTACTTCCCCCTTCCAAGTTCCAAATTCCCTACAAAAAAGGTCCCTTTGAAGCTTAAAAACCAACAAAATTCGAGATTTTGAATAGAATGGAGAAGAACAGAAAACCCAATAAGGAAATCTCTATATTTGGGATTCTTGATTTTACCCAGTATTTTTCTCCGGTTAATTAACTCTCTTTTACTTTTCTGGTAAGTTTGCTAATCCCATTGGACTAATCTCGCATTGGGTTTTTGGAGTAATCGAAGGTGCTTTAAAGGAGACATTTTTGTTGTTGATAAATCTAGACTGAGGGCAATCGAAGCTTTTTTTACAATATTGATCTCATGGGACAGCTGTGTTATAACTGAAAAACTGCTCTTTTATTGGATGTATCTTGTGTTTATCGAAGAGAACGATCGGCTTGTGAACTTGTCTGGCTTTCATCATCTGGATAATCTCAGGCCATTGAAACTACCCTTTGAAAAGAAATCGTTTTACTTTTGTATCCCAAGAGATAGATGGGATAAAGAGTTCTTCAAGCTTCAAGGCGGGTGATTATAATAATTTGAAGGATTTGTTGATTTTGGTAATATAATTGGTTTGGACATTTTTTAGATGGGTTCTCCTCAAGGCTCCACATTGACAACAGATATGACCGGACTAGTTGATGGTTCGACTGCTCGCAGTGATGTTTCCTTCATTGATTGTTTGCCTGTTTATGTCAAAGAGCTAATAGCTGCTGGCGCTGCTGGTGGCCTGGTGCCATTGCTAAAACGACCATTGCACCTTTAGAACGGATTAAAATACTTTTGCAGGTGAGAGCTAACTGATATAGTCTATATTGCCTATATATATGTTACTCTTGTGCTTGCTTGTTGTTTGTCAAGTATTTGTTGCTTACAATCGAGTTATGATCCTTTGTTTTTGCAGACAAGGACTGATGGTTTCCAATCTCTTGGGGTGTATCTATCCTTAAGGAAGGTTCTAAAGCATGAATGTGTTATGGGATTTTATAAGTAAGTTTACAGATTATTTCACCATTTCCCTTTCTCTCTATGCCCTCCTTAAAAGTTGGACTAATTCATGCCTATCTGGACCTGCAGAGGAAATGGAGCGAGTGTTACTCGGATCATTCCTTATGCAGCCTTGCATTTCATTACTTACGAGCAGTATGGAGGCTGGATTTTAGATAACTGTACTTTCTTTGGATCAGGACCTCTTGTCGATCTTATAGCCGGTTCTTGTTCTGGAGGAACAGCAGTTTTGTGCACTTATCCCTTGGACTAGGCTCGCACTAAACTTGCCTATCAGGTAAGAAAATTTCCATAAGAATAATCAAATCCGTTACTTTATCATGCAATTGCTGATTCTTTAATGAATTATCTGTCAGATCTTTCTTATTAACTTTTATGCTTTAACAGGTTGTTGACACCAGGACAAAATTCAGTTCTGGTATGACAAGTTTATATCCTCGACCTGCATATAGTGGCATAAGAGATTTACTGACAACTGTTTACAAGGAAGGGGGAATACGTGGATTATATCGAGGTGTAGATGTGTAGTACGCAGTTGTTTCTAACACTTCATAGCACAACTCAAGTATGAATACTTTTGACAATGGTTTCAAGATCTTTGCATTATTCTTG